GTCCCACAGCAAAAGCGAATTCATACACAATCTGTACAGTGCTCAACCTCACCCAGGAGAGCAAAGCCCAGCGTTCAAGATTGGATGTCTTGCTCCACACAAGCCAGGTAGGGTCCCATAGTGCTCGGTGCCAGCCCAGAGAGAATTTATAGGGCACAGGAGTCAGCACGGAACTTCCAGACATGCTGACCCCTGTGATGTCACAAGAGCTGCGGAGTGGGACCTGGGACAGCAGTCCTCCTCCTCGGGTCTCTGGTGACGGTGGTGGCTGGGCCTGCTCCTGAGAATATCACCCAGCTGGTGCCAGGCCCTCAACAACCCTGACAAAACCACCTCCACCCTACACAGACCTGAAATCCAACTCCCCACCTGCCGGCATCCTGAGCTAAGGCTGTGTCTCTGAGCTAGGCACAGTGGCACATGCTTGTAATCCCAGCACTCAGGAGGCTGAGGCAGAAAGATCACAAGTTTGAGTTCAGCCTGGGCAGTGTAGCTACTTAGCAAGGCCTATTTCAAAATAAAGAATAATAAAAAGGCTGAGGATGTAGCCCCATGCAAAGGTCCTGGGTTTAATCCCCACAATGAAAGAGAAAAAACAACAGCAAGACTCTCCAGGGCCCTGTTGGCACTGCCTGCCATGGATCATGCTTCAGGACCAAGATTCTAGTCTCGGAGCTCTGCCAACCAATACGGTAGCCACCAGCTATTGAAAATTAAAATTCACTTAATTAAAATCAAGTGGAATTAAAAATTTAGATCCTTTGTCCCTGGAGCTGCTAACACACAGAAGAGCTCTGTAGGACACAGAGGGGAGAGCAGGAAGCAGAGAGAGGACGCCCCAAAGCCAGGCAGGCCTCTTCCATAGCCCCACCAGGGCTCCTGCTCCAGGCTCCCCATGTGGGGCCCCAGGAACGTCCAGGGACAGGGCCCAGGAGCACCCAGGTGGGAAGGTACTGCCCACTCCACAGTCACACTCGTGTCGTGTCTTCAGCTGGGTGATATTCTTGGCCGCAAGGATGAGCCATGTGGGTGTCCCTCCCACGGGCAACCTACGGTACCAAAGGTCCTCTCCATGATAACTCTCTCCCCACAGCACTCAGTAGCCTTGTAGGATCACCCTCTGAAGCCTACACTGGACCACATGTTTCTCAGCTCCTTGGCAAGCTGGGATCAGCACCTATGGGATATCTGTCCACTAGTGCAACCCTTCTGTAGCTCCCATCCCGTGCCTGAGTGACAGGCAGCTTTCCGTTGCTGGTACAAATTCTTGCGGTAACAGAGGGAGGGAGCAGGAAAGGTGTGAGAATTGATTGATTGCATCAACTTGAGCAAGAGAAACTCAACTAACTTGGCTCAGCAGTTCCACCCCCTCGGGTGTGGGAGACCCCCCAGGGGGGACTGTCGCCTGGAGAGTGTAAAGGGGAAATGAGGAAGGACCAAATTACTTCTGTTTCCCTATATAGATTCTTCAGCTTTCCAGCGCAGACCCATCGGCCCCCTGATACAGACTCACACGGGACACTGCAGTGAGCTCCAGACCTGTGACTAGATTCGCTAGTCTCCAGTGTACAGATGCCTTTCGCACTCTTCAACATCCAACTTTGCAGGTGCGTATTGTAAGCCAATCTTGTAAGTTCTTATGTATTTGTATATCTTGGGTTATATCTCTTTCTCTAATAAACACTGATACAAAGGTTTATGTTAGAGGATCAGGTTATGTGTTCCGTTAGGTCTCTTGGAAGGTGGGGGTGCCACGCAGCATGGCAGAGCACAGCCATTCACCTAGCAACGGCAGAGCCCCACTGTGTCAGCTTGACTGGCACGGGAGTGACCTGAAGGAGTAGGACTCACTCCAAGCGTGTCTAGGTAGATCATAGAGGGTGGCCTTGGGGTCTATATCTGTGTCTACCTCTTCCTCTCTGGTCTCTTCCCATGCTCTGCTTCCTGGCCACCATGAACTGAGCAGCTTAGCTCCCCCAGGCCCTTCTGCCATGATGTTCCTCCAATGGAGCAGCTGACCATGGACTGTATCCCCTGAAACCATAAGACAAATTAACCTCTCCTCCTTTAAATTAAGTCTCAGCGAGGAAAAGCTGACCAACACATCCTCCTAGCTGGGATGCAAAAGGGAGAGAGGCAGAGAGAGAGAGAAACCCAATCCCCTTGGAGAATACCCCCATGACCTAAGACCTCCCACCTGTTTTTTGTTTCACCACCTTTCAATAGCACCTCCCTGGGGAGCCAGCCTTAAAGTTCCCCTTGGGGACATTCAGGACCCCAACTACAGCAACTGCTACCCACCTCATACAACACTGGTGCACGCACCAAGCAAGAGGCAGGCAGCTTCCACAGGGCCTATGACTCCTGCTTCCCAGCGCCAGGGTCTTGTGTGATCCCTTCTGATTGTGGGTTTCACATCCTGCACCCAGGCTTTAGGAGTCTATCGCCTATCTCTGGCTTTTCAGAGCTGCCTGTGGGGACCTGTGTCCCACCAAGGGCCATGACCTGGAGCATGTGAGAAAGCAGATCCCCCCTACCCAGGGGCTGCAGGGGACACTCTTCACCTCGACTGCACCCAGGAGGCCACACAGTCAGAAGCCAGGCTCAGACGCCAAGGGTTGCGCAGGCTGGTTTAAGCCACTCATTCCCACGTGTGCACTGGCTCCCATCTTGGGGACCCTGGTATCACCTCTTGATCATGCGCACCTGGATCCTGGCATGAGGAGACAGCTCCAGAGAAAGCCCCTGGCCCAGCCCCCTGGAGCCTCGCATCTGCTCCGATGGAGACGCATGTCGCTCCACGTGTGGTCACTGTTGAGAGCCACTGGGTTGCGGATGATTAGTTTCACAACAAAAGCTGATGGGAGACTGCTGGAGACACTGCCATCCTCAGGAAGCACCTTTTCCTTCTGCCCCAGAAACCAAGAAATGCATGCTTCCCCAGGTCCTCCACCCCTAAATGCATACAAAGCTAACATGGATGGTTGTGCGGGTTGCTATCGCGCTTTGGATTTGTGCAGTGTGAAACCTGTGCACTCCACATGGCCCACATCGGTCCCGGGCTGTGAGTGGGAAGCTAGAGGATTGCAGTCTGACCGGCTTCCATGGCAACAGTGGCAGTAACCTAGCAACTGCATCTGCAGCCAGGAGGAACAGGGCAGGCCCATCTGCAGCCTGATTGTGGGCTTTGTTCTCTCAGGTCTTTCTTGTGCGTTCCCAGAGTGCTTTCTGCGTACTCCCTTTGTGTGTACATTTGCCAAGCTCTGACCTTCTTGCTCACAGGCACGGCACACCTGGCCCCATTTAGGACCCTGAATGGAGCGGGTTGTGCAGCTGAGCTGCTCTGTGACCAACCAGGGGGTGACAGGAGGAGGGAGGGGCACACTTTCCAATGCCACGGTCTGGCACATGGGCGGATGGGACAGCTGCATCAAGCTGTCCTTCAGGGAGGACGGCGCGGCTGGAGGACACTGAGGAGGTCAGTGCGATCCGGAGAGAATACCGCCCTCCAGCCCTGTCTACCCTACCCTGCAGAGCCTCCTTCCCCACCTCCCTTGCTGCTCTTTGTTTTTTTCTGCACCTCTCCTTGCTTCTGCTTCTTACACACACACATGCACACACGGGCACACATGCACATGCGCGCACACACACCCCCATCCACAGGACTTCCTGAGCAGCCAGCACGCCCAGCCCCCCCACGCCTGCCCCGTCTCTGCCGTCTTCGTCCACTAGGTGGCAGTGTGACCCCACATAGCCGCACACCTCCGCGTCCACCCTGCTCAGCCTGTCAACCAAGGCGTCCTGCGGTCACACAGCGGGCTGCTCCAGAGCCTCTTGAGGACAGATTCAGGGCAGCGCCTGGCTCTACCCTCAGGCACTGGTATACTACCAGAGTCGTGTCAGAGCCATCATAGTCGTGCAGGGGACCCCAGCCTGGTGCAAATTCAGGCTGTGTCTGCACTGTGTTGCGTGGTAACACAAGTTCCGCCTGTGTTGGGACGCACAAGCCTGGACTCGCTGCTGTCCATCTCCTTCCCGAAGGCAGAAGGCACGCCCAGCGAGCCTCTTGTCCTCCATGCAGAGTGAGTGCCGGCCAGGAGCATGTGCGAGAGGCAGAGACGCACACCTTGTTAGCACCAGAGGACTCACAACAAAGGCCCCCAGGGCGCCCTGAGAGGCATCAGGGAGCTGTCACAGAACCCCTGGGGACTGCACTGCCTGGGTGTGTCTGTGCGCTGCCTCTGGAAGTGAGGGGAAGGAAGTCTTCACTAGGAATCCTGGGAGGAAAAGTGGGAAGTGTGGGTGACTGTACTGGCACCACAGGGCCCCTGCCCCACGTGGGCCACCCCTGAGATTCAGGGCAGGGCTGCGCTGGTGGGAGGGCACTCGCTCGCTCACTCAGACCGGGAGGGTCTTGAGTCTTGCATGTGTCCTTTCTCTGGCTCTTTCTCTTGCTGCCCCTTGGAGAGAACCACGTGGCAAAGCACAGAGTGGACTTGGGCTCACAGACAGTGAGAAAGCAAAACGCGAGGGCAGAAGATGCCGAGCCCTGCAAAACCACAGTAAAGCCAGGCATGGTGGCACGCACCTGTAATCCCAACACTCAGGAGGCTGAGGCAGGAGGATCACCAGGTGTTCCAGGCCAGCGTGGCTACATAGTGAGACCTTGTCTTAAAAAAACGAAAGAGAGAGGAAGGAAGGGAGGGAGGGAGGGAGGAAGGAAAGAAAGAAGGGAGGGAGAAAGGAAGGAAAGAAGGGAGGGAGGGAGGGAGGAAGAAATCACACATATACACACACACAGTAAGCAACTTAGTTTTGGCTGTGACACCCTGAAGCCAAGAACCCAGCTAGACCCTGCATAAATTTATGACCCTCAGATGCCTTGAAGTAATAAATATTTCGCCTTTGGGCCCCTAACTTTGGGGTATTTTGTTCCACAGCAATGGATAACTAATACATCTATGAAAGACATTAGGAGAACCAAACAACACCCTTCATTCCAGAGTGAAGTTTAGAGAATTTATTTTTGTATTCTTGAAGCCTTGGTTTGAAGCAAAGCAAATCCTGTTCTGCTTGCGTACTAGTGAAAAGGAACCTATGCTTCGGTATAATTTATAGGCACACAGCCCTCTCCCATATAGAAATTAAGAGGTGCGCAGTGATTCCCGGCCCCGGAGGCGCCGCTGTTCACACGGAGCTGCTGCAGCGCTGAAAGACGCTGTTTCAGGGTTGGACCCCGGCAACAGATGTACGGAAAGACAATCCCGAACAACAGTTCCCTGGTGAGCATTTTGCTATAAGACAGGTAATAAGGCTCTACTTCTCCAGAAATAGCCCCCGGTAAAGGCTGTCTCCCTTCTTAGGGACTCTGCATTCTGGGGGGTTCGGGCCGAGCCCTGGCAGGTCTGCCCTGGGGTGGGGCTGGCGGGACCCGCGTCCCGGGCTCACACGCCCTCCTTGTCGAACTCGCACATGAAGTACATGGTAATGTGGCAGGCCACGTCGTTCCAGCCGCCGGAGGCCACCATCTCCACGCAGTCCTCCTCGTCGTAGGCATTGTTGGGCTCCCCGCTGCGCCACTTGCTGAAGGTCTGCATGGGGGAGCGGTCGGAGTACACGAAGGCGCCCTCGCGCTCCAGGTCGTTGATGCCGATGAAGACGCGCGCCAGGCCGGCCTGCGCCAGGTAGGCGGCCATCAGCCCGTTGGCCGCCTCGTCCTTGGGCATACCCAGCGTGCCCCCGCGGCCCTGGCACGACAGCTGGGCGTCGGCGTAGCGCTTCTCCTCCTTCACCAGCAGGTAGATCTTGCTGTCCGTCTCGCGCACGCCGGCGACAGCTGCGGGGGAGGGCAGGGCTAAAAGGCAGTGCTGGCATCTCCGTGATCACACTTACTGGCCACGCGCGGGTCACACACTGCGCTGGCCGGGGAGGTGGAGGCCGGGGAGGGGAGGTACGGGAGAGGGGGCCCGGAGCCCCACCTACCGTTTTTGATGAACTTTAACTCGGTGGTCAGCTGGGTGACCTGGTTATCCATCTCACCGATGGCCTTCCTGAGCTGGCTGCACTCGCATGGGAGACCTGTGGGGACCAGGCGTGACCCGGGGTACGGGGCTCAGGAGAGAGAACACCTCCTCCCCAGATGAATCTACTTGACACCAAGCAAGCTTTGGGGCCAGGGTGACAGTCATGCCTTCCCTTGGGACATGGAGAGGCAGTGGGTGGCCCTCAGGGTCACCAGGGGTGATGGGGAAGCACTGTGTTTATATGTCAAGTTAACAGTGAGAGACACATGCCCAAGAATCCCCCTTAAAATCCCCCCTGGCTTTGAACACACTCATCCCATCGTGCTTGCCACTTTCTGCAGCAGCTCTGGAGGCCTCTTTCCTGAGGGTCTCTACCAGGTGTGATAAAAAATACAGTGAAACCAAGGGGGAAATATACAGTGAATGCTGCTGCCAAGCACCATCCAACAGAAAGGCAGCTTGTAAAAACGTGACGCTGTGTCCTCACCCACCTCAGTCACCAGATCTGCCACCGTGTCACTTCTGGCTCTTCACCAAAGTCAAAATGACTGCGAAAGGGAAAGGTTTTTAATACATTCAGGACATTGAGTCATCTAGGACAGCACAGGTAGAGACCCTCAGGAAAGAGGACTCCAGAGCTGCTGTGGAGAGTGGCAAGGATGGGATGAGCATGTTTGAATTGAGAGGGAGATTGTGAGGGGATTTGTGGCAATGTCTTTTACTGTAATCAAGTCTTCTTTATTTATACAGAACATACTCTTCGTCATCCCTTATATGTTAAGTGCTGTTTGACTACAATGGGGAGACAGTGGGGTACAGGGCAGAAAAGGGTGCAGAGAGGATGTAAGGGTCTGGGGTACCATTGGGGGAGCCCTGGGAGAGGCTCAGGGGCAGCAGGGCACATTGCCCAGGGCATCTGGGGAAACAGAGGTAGGGCCTGCTGGTGTGTATCCGGTCAGGAGGTCCCACTGTGGGTGACAAGTGGCACCTTCACACTGGGCTATATCCCCAGCCTGTTTTCACTGACTTTTAAAGAAATTTTTCTGAGGCAGGGACTCACTGCGAAGGCATCAGATTGCCCAGGCTGCTCACACCTGCCGTCTTCCACCCTCAGTCTCCTGCGAGCTGGGCAACAGGCATGTGCCTCCACTCCAGGCTCGATGGAGTACATTTTTCAAAGCACAATTTTAACACATTTCACTAAAACTCCTTGACCCTGTCCGCCATACCTGGTTCTCCATGAGGGCCAGGCGGTCCTGTGTCCCCCACCTCACCTTTGTCACCTGAAAGAGTAAAGCAGAATCCACGTCACCAGCCAGAGCTGTGCATCCCCTGGGTTCCAAAGCACCGCAGTCGAGCACGGCGATTCTTTTGTGGACCCGGGCCTGTGAACTTGGGCATACGCCTGCCATGGCACTAGAGGGACTGCCAACGTCACCTAAGGGGACACTGCAGGCAGCAGCTCAGGAGCAGGTGGCTCCTGACTCAGACCCGACATTGGGAGAGTCCTGGGGGAGGTGGGGACATGACGCTGGCCTCGGGCTCCCTGCTGCCCGGGCAGGGAGGGCGGGCAGCGCCGAGAGCCCCGTGCTGCCTCCCAGTCTCTCTGGACTCCTCCAGGCAGTGTATCATGTAAGGAGCACAGATGCCTGGGGCCCAGCCCAACCTTCTAATGAACAGGACCAGCTGCAGTTGTTCTCCACTTATAAAATGGAGATGAAGGTGGCTGTGGTGACATATGCCTGTAATCTCAGCACTCAGGAGGCTGAGGCAGGAGGATCTCAGCTAGTTGAGGCCAGCCTGGATATCTAGTGAGTTTAAGGTCAGCCTGAACTAGAGAGACCCTCTCTCAAAGAAGAAGGAGAAGGAGGCAGAGGAAGAAAAAAAGAAGGGGGAGGAAGAAGGAGAAGGAGAAGAAAAAGCAGCACATTGAAAATACCTTTGGCACCGATTGGACCAACTTTCCCATGGCGACCCACACTGCCTTTCTGTCCTTTGTCCCCCATGTCTCCTGCAGGAAAGGAGACCATAGTTGGTTGTTGCACAGGTGACCTGACACACCTACTTCTCACCATCACACACATATGTGCACGGGTGACCCGGCACACTGTTTATCACACACAGGAAGAAATTTAAAACAGCCTAGCACATCCTCTCTTCAAGGTCTCTCACCTGACCGCCCCGTGTGGCTCCTCACAGGCCACACACACCCAGGACAGAGCAGGGCAGGCACCGAGTCACCTAGCAACCTCCCCTGCCACCCTGGAGGGAAGGAAAGGCTCTGGATCCCAGCCAGGGGACAGTGACCCCTGCCCACCAAGCAGGGCCCTGAGCACAGACACGGCTGGGGACACGTGGACAGGGTCAGGTGGCAAAGCCCGGGGTCCTCAGCCCCAGGACAAGGGACAGGCAGCCCCCGCCCCACCTCGAACATGTCTGGGAACTCTATGCAGAGACAACACACCCCTGGTGGGCACATCTGTCTGCACAGCCTACAGCTGCAAGTGTGGGCCCGGACAGCAGGGGCACTCAGCCAGCTTTGTCACCCATGAAGAGAACCCAGCAGCAGCAGAGGTTCCGCCCTTCCTGGGGGACCCACCGAGGGGCACAGCCTGTGCCACGTGGGAACTGCCGAACTTCCAGATACCAGTGGAGGATCTCAGCCTCAGGTCCCCAGGAGCCCTCTGAAAGGCGGACTCCCTACACCCCACAGGAGGGTGAGCAGAGGGTGCCACCCCCGCAGCAGACCCTGCAACCCACACAGAGCAGCTCTCTCCGCTGGAACCCATCAGCACCGACCCAGACACTCGCGCCCACCACCTAGCTGGGGTGGTTCACATTGCAGAGATATCCCAAGACATTAAACTTTAAAACGTCTTTCCTGCCCCGTGTGGTGGTGCACACCTGTAATCCCAGCACTCAGGAGGCTGAGGCAGGAGGATCACTATGAGTTTGAGGCCAGCCTGGGCTCCACAGTGAGTTCAAGGCTAGTCTGAACTGCATAGTGAGACCCATCTCAAACAAATAAACAAGTAATAAAAGTAATTGTAGCCAGGTGTGGTGATGCACGCCTGTAATCCCAGTACTCAGGAGGCTGAGGCAGGAGGATCTGTGTGAGTTTGATACCAGCCTGGGCTACAAAGTGAGCTCAAGGCCAGCCTGAACCGCATAGCGAGACCCTGTCTCAAAAAGACCAAAAATAAAAAGTAGTTATACCTGAAAGAGGATAGCCATCACTTATTGAGCACCTGCTGTTTATTCACATGTATGATCCAGCTTCTCTGCATGTATGTACTAGTTGCCACACATATATGTCCTAATTCCTTTGCCCCTCTGCTCTAGCTCCTTTACATGTATGACCTGGGCCCTTACACATGTGTTCCAGCTCCTTCGCACGTGTGATCTCTCTCCTTTGCACACACAATCTGACCTCAGCACACTCCCATGGGGGTTCGGAATTACACCATTTTGCTGACTCGGACGGGGAGCACTCCTGTCCAGGGCCCCTGCTGTTCCGGCCAAGCCACTGTCATGGCTGTGCCCACCTCGATGGATGCAGACACTGGAATCCGAGCCGTGGGAGCCCCAATTCTGTGGTTCAGGGAGGCCAGCAGCTGGGGCCCCCTCCCCCTCAGCCTCTGTCCCCTCCCCCACCGCCCTTGCCTCCAGGAGCTGCAGGTACCTTTCTCTCCCGTAGGACCCACTCTTCCAGGCCGGCCTGGGGCTCCTTTGTCCCCCTTCTCCCCCGCGTCCCCTGTGGAAGAAGTCACAGCTGTTTAGCATTTTCTGGCCAGCTCAGGCCTGCAGGGCACTGAGGGACAGCAGGAATTAGAACAGCCCGTCCTGTCCCTCCCTTCTGCTTCCACCACACCGGCCCGTCCCCTCAGCAAGGGTCCCTACAAGGCACATGCTGTGCAGGTGGTCCTCCCTTGGACGAGTGGCCACGCTCGCCAGGTACGCCAGCTATGGGGTGGAAGTGTGAATAACTAGTTGAGACATCCTGTGTGTGTGTGCAGACCTGTCAACCATGTAAGTCAACATTTCAGTGAATTTTAATTTTCTGTAATTTTCCATATGTGCTTTGACTTGTGAATGTCAAGTCAAAGTTGTCATTGTGGCTCAATGGCAATAACAGTCTCCAATAAAATCTTCAGACGTGGAAATCTAACCCAACAGAGGAGACACTTGATTTTTTTTTTTTTTTTTTTTTTTTTTTTGACACAGAGTCTCGCTATGTAGCTCAGGCTGGCCCTGAACTCACTTTGTAGCCCAGGCTGACTTCAAACTCACAGCGATCCTCTTGCCTCAGCCTCCACTGTGCTGGAATTATAGGCATGTGCCACCATGCCCAGCAGGCCATTCAGTTTATATTGAAGTGAACACAAAAACATAAAGCAAATGCCAACAGAACTGGAACATCCTGATGTCACCCTGGGCTAAAGCCCCAAGCTCCCTACTGAAGAGCCTACGGTCCACTGCTGGTCTACTTGCCAGTTGGTCAACATATATACATGGCCCTGGGTCTCCTGGTGGTTCTCAAACTTTCTCTTACCTTTTAAAAAGAAAGGAAGAGCTGGGTGTGGCGGCCCACACCTGTAATCCTAGCTCTTGGGAGGCTGAAGCAAGAGGATTGCTGCAAGTTCAAGGCCAGCTTGGGCTATACAATAAGATATTGTGTCAAAAGAGAAGATGAAGATGAAAGAGGAGGAGAAGGAAGGAGAAGGAGAAGAGAAAGAAAGGAAAAAGGAAGGAAGGAAAGAGGAAGGAAGGAAGGAAGGAGGGAGGGAGAGAGGGAGGGAGGGAGGGAGGAG